AGGTTGAATATTCTTTGTATTAAAAGGAAGTGAAATTGTTCAACGTCAGAAACACAATCAAATAGACTAAATTTATCAACTTAATAAGCTTTTACTCCAAACAGTTAACCTTTAAAGCAAATGAAGATGTCTTGATGAGCGAATCCGGTTTTGTGCAAACGCAGCCTTATTCCTCAGTACATGACCCGATGTTCCTGGTATTTACGTTGGTGGCAATTATTTGCAAGAAATATTATTTTCGTAATCCCTAGTACCATATTTGGCATAGGTTTATGATGTAGAATAGGTTATTGTTTATGATCTTTAATCCTATTGGCTAAGCAAACACTCCATGGAAGTACGAAAGAATGTTTTATGCAGTGCGGTGTTTGAAATTAAATGAAGATATGATCTTCGCAATGTTGCAATTGTCTCATGAACCTGAAAATTCAGGCGACTCAACGGGGTTTGAATCCGTTGAGTCCCGTTGAGTCAACGGGTTCGAATCCCTGGTTGAATTCATCAGGTTCAGATTGCTAAATTTGTCCAAAAATCATCATCTACATTTAACTCCATGGAAATGTTATAAAAGTGGTATCATTCTTCAGTGTTCCCAACAGTTGATATACAACAGCCCGACTACACATTAAACAATATACATCCACTGGATCCACGTCTTCCTATATTGAAAGGTCTACACAGAATCATAGTGGAAAACTGTAAGCTTGTAAAACTGGAGACTTGACTAGTTGACTTCATTCTTGTATATTTCTTTACGTGGCTAACTTGGCTTTAAAAGAAAAGGTAGATATGACTTATCTATTTTATTTTACACTAGGTAATAAAATATTTTGCTATACTTACGATCCGAACCATACATTTCAACAACGCTTCGTCAAATGATAGTATGAAACAAGTTTCATCCATTTCGGCATTTTTCCTGCTGGATCGTGTTTTCCGATCATTTTAAACTAAGTTTGTCTTTTTTTTTCGCTTTTGGGAATTAAAAGTTAATCGATAATGTTTGAAATTTGATTTTTATCTTACAGACAACCTAAGCATTTCCTAATAGCAAATTTTTATGCAAATTTTTTGTGTTCATTCAATGTTCATTATCATTTTCAGTGTGGACGTCACACTGACGACATAGAAATGTAGATAAAATTGCAGATCTTAAACAATTATTTTATTTCACCCAGTATAATAATAATAAATTAAAATTGTGAATATTTTAAGTCTTGCATGGAAAAGTTCCGTGAATAAGGACTTTTTGTCTTCATTTTATACCAGCATAGACATGGGTTGCAAACTTTGCAAAAAATCCAACAACAAAAGAAGGTTGAAACATGGGGAACATGACGTAAGCAATGGTGAACAAATTGTTGAAGATCGTCTTGGTGAAGTGACGGCAGGAATAGAAAATGGTGGAAGACGTCGTCCCATACAAGAGACTCTTATTGAGGAATTCAAGTTTTTACCTCATGTCTTGGATTTGATAAGAGAATATGGATATTCCATGGAAGCGCTAGATGATTTTGTGTTGAATGTTCAGTCAACACAAGAAGAAATGTAAATCTGAATGTATTAGTTGCCAATTTTCAGGTGCGTTTTTGAAACGTCGCATTTTACCTGAGCCGAATGGCGAATGCATTTAAAACAAAAGAGAACAAGGAAATTCGTCTCAAATTTTATGTCTTGAATGCATTTGGCGTGTGTAAAATGCCGCGTTTAAAACTGTTTTAAGTATAAAAAGAACCATTCACTATATTACCGTAAAAATAACCATTCACTATATAATAGTGTAAAATGCAAACACTTGAAAACGCATCTTGTTTCAAAAACGAAAACTTTCAAGAACATATTTGTTTACATCTTGCGTAACTAATTGACAATTAATTAATGTAGCCATTTAATAACTTTCGCATTTTACATGAGCCGAATGCGTTTAAAACAAAAGAGAACGAGGAATTTCGTCTCAATGTTTTTTTGTTTTGAATGCATTCGGCACATGTAAAATGTGCCGTGTGAAACGGGCCTTAGTATAGAAAGAACCATTCACTATATAATAGTGTAAAATGCGAACACTTGAAAACGCATTCTGTTTCATAAACGGAAACTTTCAAGGACATATTTGTGTAAATCTTGTGTAGCTAATTGATAATTAATAACTTTCTTTAAACTTTTGTATGTAAAGATATATTTATTTTTTATTTATGTTATTATAAACTTTGAATGGAATGATAATTTTTAATGTAACAGTTTTAACAGTGTTTTTAACATCAAACCGTTCACCGTTTTCTCTCGAAGTGTTCCTAGTAGACTAAAGCAGTTGATTTCAAAACAAGCCAAATAATAATGGTAAATTCTGGTTATTTAAAAACAACGAGAAGATATTGTAAACTGTTACACAAATGCAGAATGATTTGATAAATTTTTTAATGTATTTCCCTCGTGTTGAGTGGGACTTATTCAAGCTCTTGACCAATCACCGCACCGCATTGTGTTTATTTTATGACGCCTGATGACGCCTAGATGACGCCTGAAGCAGAACAACCTGATTGGCTGAAATGCAGTGTAAGGCAATCATTTTTTGAGTAATGGTAAATGTGATAAAGTATTATATTTAATCTGTCCTTTCATCTTTGCTGCCCTGGCATACTTCTCTAACGTGGAAATTTTCCAACGTAAGTTATCATGTATAATGTACTATTTTCATGAAAGCATTTTACACTTCTGTTTAAAGCATTTTGATTCTTATTAGCTAACGTTCAAAGACGAGTCTATTTCAGAGCACGCGGTTTTTGTGAGCATTTTAAATATCGATTTGTGTCATATGTTTGAGTGTGACTTCATGTTTTCTTTATCCGTTCTTCTTCCAGGCTTTTAGGATGAATAAATATCCAATAATTGGGAAACGTGAACGTTCTAATATCAAGGAAAAGCGAACTACTAAAAACAATGAAGATGTTGAGAAATATGTGACTGTTCTTGGCGACTGGCGTTCCCAATTGCGTACCCTAGACAGACATGAAAGTGCTGGTAAAACTGACCGCCACTTAATTCGCTCATTTTGTGTTCTTCATCAGTGTCTTGTATTTTGTTGTATCTTGTTGGACAAGGTAAAGACATTATTGTCTGATAAAGGCAAACTCACTTATGAAAAGATAAATCAACTGAATGATCTAAAAGTAGATCTCTACAAGTTAACCAAGCTTCTCGATGAAATAAATCTGATCTACAACAATTTTTGTGGCTTTAAGCAAGAAATTACAATTGAGTATGTGTATGAATTTAATCTTGATAATGCTTTGAGTAGTATAGAAAGTGCCATTTCCAATCTAAACCATCCTGAGATAAATGATCTCTTTGACTTGGATATCACCCCAGAAGATGTTCTGTGCTCAGTGCTTGGTTTGAAAGATGAGTTTGCTTGCAGGCTTCTTGAACAAACTCCTTACATGAGAAAACACAAAAGTGAAAAGGTACATTTGCTAATATTTTTAAAGGAGTTTAAGGAAGAAGACAGCATAAAAAATCTCAGAGATGGTGAAAAGGTTGCTAAAATCTTGTGCAAGATTGGTTTTACAAAGCATCGATCTGAATTTATTGCTAATTGGATAACCAACATGGCAGATCCAAATCACAAACCAATTTTCTCCTGGGTGGAAACTTACATTGAAAATCATTTTAAGTATGATATCTTCTTAAATGATCAAGTTTCGGATTTTCCTTTCAAAAATGATAATCAAAATGAATGGTTTACTGTGAATATCCCACGTTTAGATGAAGAGGGAAGACATAGTCATCCTATAAATATGATCAATGTTGAATCGCAAGAAGATGCTCTACACCATGTTGGATCAAACGTTGCTGAACTAAATGAAAATAATCCTGAGACAGAAGTATATTTCCATTGTACTGATCACGAAAGTTCTGTGGATATTCTGGAAATTGGAATTCATCTGGGTTTTGGTCGAAAGAAATCAGACTTCTCTGATGGAGCAGGTTTCTACATGGTAAATAACGCAAAGTTCTCATTAGAGCAATATGGGTTGAGCAGTACACATCCAGCTATTATCATGTTTGATGTGAGTCCTCGAAAACTGAGCAAGTTTAAAGGAATTGATTTATCCAGTGCTGAAAAAGACAAAGATTGGAAATTGATTGTTGAGTATTTTCGCTCAAGTAGCCATGGTATTGGTAATTTATCTAAGAGTTTGTTCTCACACATAAGACAATGTGATTACATCAGAGGGCCTGTTTCTATAAATGGTTCTATTGAAAGTAACACATTATCTCAAGGTGTTGAACAAATTTGCATAAAAAAACGAGAATTGGCCAAGCTAATTGGGCATCCATCATTAATCTTAGGCGTGATTTTTCTTAAAGCTCATGAACTGATTCAAAAGGGAAATGAGCTTGGCAGTAAAGATGACGACCATGATATGGCAGAATTGAAGATTGAGCCAATAATGATCGACAAAATCTAAACATGCATTATAGTAATAAGCATTTGAAAGTTGATTTTGTAAGTTGTTGTAAATTTCAGGAACCTTTAATCTTATAACCGACAGGTGTTATACCCAAGAACAGTTGGTATAACATATTTTATTGTATACTTATATGTAGAACCAACAGTAGATCATTGTAAACTATGATTATCTTTTTACTATTTATACCTGAACATTGTGACATACTTAAGTTTGGAAACGAACTATTTACTGCTTGTTGTAGATTAGATAATTTGATTTGGCTTTTGTATGATGTCATGATAAATATTAAAAAAATTGGAATTTTTGTTCTTTAGTATTCATTCTGTTAGGATTGTACTTACAGCTTGTTGATGATGCCTTTAGAGTGCTGAGTTTTCTTACTTAAAAAATTTGCAAAATAACACTGGTTTGCCCTTTGTACAACTACACAAATCACAAATGTTTCTAATATTAAAGGCAAATCAGCAACATGTTACTGCATATCACGTGATGATTTGAATATTTATATATAGTCAATGGCGCGGTATATTTATGGCTTTGTTATTGCGAAGTTGAGGGTCAGTGTTTATTTGTTGCTTTGAATTGTATTCAGAGCTACAAAATTTCGACAATGACTTCAAGAAAGCGTTGCTACAATGGATTAAAACATGCAAAACAACATATGATATTATTTTTCATTTTATTCGGCGTACTTTGTGGATTTTTACTCGGCTCTTTATTACATGGCAATGTTCAGTCGTCCTTAGATCCAACACCGAAGGAATATGCAATGTACGTGTCTTTTTTTGGTGAGATTTGGGTGAGAGCTTTAAGACTTTTGGTTATTCCTTTGATTGTATCCAGCCTGCTTTTGGCAGTCGCTGAATTGGAGTCAAAACAGAGCGGAAAATTGGGAAGAAGAACATTGCTGTATTGTCTTATGACTACAATGTTTGGGGAGTAATTTGTTTATTTGCATTTAACCTGGAAATGTTAACGTGAAAGAACCAGAACCGAACGAAGAAAAAGTTGAACCAATACATTCTGTGCGTGATCTTATAAGGTTTGTGCAAAATATTCATAAATTTACTGAGTTTACGCCCTGCTTTTGCGTTCACTGCAAAAATTTTCTTATACGTATAACTTTTATTTCTATTATTTAACGACAATGTTTTTTACTTTTTCAATATGAACATAATAGCCCAACATAAGACATTTAAAAAAGCCATCGCAATAATAAAATAAAGAAAGATTAAAGGTTTTTTTAATAATTACGTTTCTTCTTTAACTTAAGACATCTTCAGATTATTTGAGATATATTATATACATGAGATTTTAAATACAAGCATATATTACAGGGTGTTAAATTACATGTGAGGGGAGTAGGAGGTTTAGATGAAGGAATGAAGTGAGAAGGGCGGTATATTAAAGAAGGTGAAGGGGGATTGAGTTGCCTTGGGTGTTAAGAGAGGGTTTGAGTTTCAATATTAGAAGGCTTTCATGAATCATAAGGTCATAACTGTCGGCTTTTACTTTACTAAAAGAAACCTTTTTTTATTAGAACGTAAATGCTTCTTTTGCAAAACTGTGCAAGTGTGGAGATTTCTAAGTGTGTAGAAACCATTATGAATCAACAATAATAAATACATTTACAATATTAGTTGTAAATACATTTTATTATGACATATGAACCATACCAAAGAGAGCAAAGGTAATGTTACAAGATCATAATAAGAACATCAAGATTTTAAATTGATAAGTTAATCTGAAACACAGCCTTTACAACAATGACATTGAAATATAAAAATTACAATAAACCTTCCACACTCTACTCATCACACACTCAATTTCTCATCTCTTTGAGACAGTGAGTGGAAGGTTTATTGAAATTTTTGAATTTCAAAGTCAAAAAGATCTTTACTCCTTTTGAATTTTAAAGCTGCATTATATTTATGCCAAAAGTTTGCTGAGATTTTGCTTACGATTGTAATATGTGACAGCCAGGGTTATGTGTTTATTAGCATAATTATCAGTCAGCCAAGCTTTTTTGAAACCATTATGAATCAACATTAACATCATGTGACATCGTACATGAACTGTTCTTAACCAATAGAGCTATACCTCATATTCATCACGTCATTTTAACTTTTAAATATGTTTATGTCAAGATTTCAATTGTAGAATGATTATTATATATACTACTGAACATTGTGTACAACAAGACAACTGTCAATAAATGAGTTGTCAAGGAAAATGAACCTTAAGAACCAAGAATAGCACGAAGCTTTGATTTACACCACTGTATATGACAGATCATTCTCATTGAAATGCATCAAATTGCAATATTGCTACATAAACACAATGAGGATGAACATTTTCATGTTCACGAAAACAAGATTTAATTATTTATAGATGTTCCAAATGTGCACAGCAATGTAATTATATCTTACAATAGCTGCACCAGGCCTAAATAACATACAATGATAAAAAATCTTTTGAAAATTTCACGGTATGATTGTAAGCTGTTTTCTTCTTTAAGATAAATCCCATTTCACCACCTACCTATGCTGTCATGACAACAACAATGAATCAAGAAGAAGGTTTGAAAGCTTTGGAAACATCTATCAAAGCCATTGAAGAAGTCATTATGAACAAGAAAGGAACATTTGTTTTACAACAAGCTGTAAGTGTTTGGTTTATATTTCTATGGAAAGTATATTGTATCACTAAAATGACATCCCCCTGGTGCCTCTACTGTCCTCATATCATCCTGTTACCATTTCCCTAAGTACCCCATGCTGTATTAAGACGGACATATTCAATCATTAGTCGTTTATTTGAAAATTACAATGACACCATCCCAATGCATTGAAATGAATAATATTAGGACCCTGTGACTTTGGCAATAATTTATGTTAACTGTCCACAAAAATTAGTTTTTCCTAAAGCTAATTATGCATTGTGATATCATAACAATGTCTTTAGTAAATTGCCACTTTAGGAAATTGGTATAGTCCTGAGAAGGACTGTTTTTGTTGTTGTTGACTGATGTTCAACCACCGCTATGTAAGAACCAGATAACAAATACGGCTAACCTGACGTTTACTCCTCATTTGACTCTGAAGATGACTACAGCTAAGGTTGTCGAAACGTCAGTCAACAACAACAAAAACAGTCCTTCTCAGGACTTTATTAACCTGGACGATCATCATTTACAAACATATAACGATACTCCCGGGTTCAAACCATTTACTTTAAGTTAATTTATAAAAGTAACAACAAGAAGTAACACTGTCTGTATGTATAATATGAAAATATTAAATTAGGAATAATTTGACAAGCAGTTTTCCAAAGTTCATTTTACAAAAATTTGCATGCTAAAGGCAAGCGGTAGCAAAGCAATTGCTTCATTTAAATCATTCATCTTTACATGTATATGTTGCAGTTGACATGAAAGTTAGAACTCAGCCAATAGCCAATTAAATCATGTCAACTGGAGCCTAAAGAATAATTTCTGTATTTTGTTCAATTTGTTGCTCACCTGCACAAGATCAACACATCCATTAACACCAACAATTATATGGTGTCATATATGTAGCTCTCAGTCTCCCAGTGTTTGTGTGTAAGTATATTATTTGATATCATCTGGATTCATGTTACTCAGTTGTTTTCAGCTTGGAATCACTTAATCACTTTGCAGCTTGGAATCGCATAAATTTGCGAAGACGTCTCTATAATCGTCGCAAGTAAAGCACCGGAAGTAGATATACTTATGCTCGCTCGAGCTTTCTGTCGGCTTTCCAAGCGCACTATATAGCAGTATATTTTAATATTTCAAGAAACAAACATTACATTTTGCGAAAGACATGGACTTATAGGTCCAATAAGTCCCATTCCCCTTTGTTTAATGTAATGTGTAATCTGTCCTACACAACAAATCATTTCCATGCTCATAATCACTGTATGTATGTAAATAGAAGGCTAATGTGCCTTGAATAATGGCCGCAACTTGGACTGTACCATGCACAGCATTCTATTTACAACATACAGTCATTATGAACATGGAATTTGTTACATGTTCGTGCACAGCATGTACTTAACTTATACTCCAGACAGTTAACCCTTTAAAGCAAATGAAGATGTCGTGATGAACGAATCCGGTATAGAGTAAACACAGCCTTATTCCTCAATACATGACCCGGTGCTCCTGGTATTTTACGTATATTACGTGTATGGCAATTAGTGTCCGTCCGACAAATGGTGTTGCATTTTTAATCAATTGCTACTAATTTGATGTTGGAATTTTTATAAAAGGATTTGAAACACTGTGGGCGTGGGCATCTGTAGTGATCATCCTATTAACACATAAAATGTACTCTTGCCAGCATGCGGTCAATAAAATACTCTTGCCGTTAAAAGCGCCAATGATAACATGAAATCACATTGTTTTTCTAACCGAGTGAATCTCCTTGATGCAAATCAGCAACCGTTCATAAAGCCATATTATTGCTATTATTATAAAATGTACTTTTGCCACCATGTGTGATGCAGACTTCGGCGAAATTATTTATTGTGCCGTTTTAGGCCGTCGTTTACACACTATACCGGATTGCTATCGTAGCAGGTTGAATATTCTTTGTATTTTTAATACAATGAAATTGTATTAAATTGAAATTGTTCAACGTCAGAAACACAATCAAATAGACGAAATCTGTCAACTTAATAAGCTTATACTCCAAACATTTAACCCTTTAAAGCAAATGAAGATGTCGTGATGAGCGAATCCGGTATAGTGTAAACGCAGCCTTATTCCTCAATACATGACCCAATGTTTGTGGTATTTTACGTATATTACGTTTATGGCAATTTGTGTCCGTCCAACAAATGGCGTTGCATTTTTAATCAATTGGTAGAAACAGGATGTTTCATACTTTAGACCACCAAGTGTGGACTGATGTTTCATTCTGCAGACTTCGTGTGATGATATGTCTTACTCAAAATAACTAACAGGGAAGTTTTGCTTTGACATGTTAAACTAATTTCATCATCACTAGTATTTATCCAATAAAAACAGTTTTCATTCAAAATAGCAATGAATTTTATGTTAAATTTGCGAAGACGTCTCTATAATCATCGCAAGATTTGTGACCCTCAATACATGACCCTTTGTTCGTGGTATTTACGTGGGTGACAATTAGTGTCCGTATTACAAAAGGAAAGAAATACTATGTTTTCAATTGTTATAAAAGGAATTTAATACACCGTGGCCGTGCGGATCATTACGATGCGTTTTGCCTTTCAGTATGATTTCAGTCAATTTGCTTGTTCCCATACGTCATGCTATGCATGGATAAATGTGATCTAATATCTTTAATCTTATTGGTGGAATAAGGTTTTATTAAGAAACCCTCCAAAGAAGTGTCTTATAAACAGTGAAAGCCGTGTCTGCACAGAACCATAGTGGAAAAGTAAAAGCGTGTATTTCTTGTATATTTCTTTACGTGGTTAACTTGGCTTTAAAGAAGAGGTAAATATGACTTATCTATTTTATTTTACACTAGGTAATGAAATATTTTGCTATTCTTAAGATTCGAACCATCCATTTCAAGAACGCTTCGTCAAATGATAGTATGAAACAAGTTTCATCCATTTCGGCATTTTTCCTGCTGGATCGTTTTTCCGATCATTTTAAACTAATTTTTTGATATCAAAAATATCCTGCAGTATATTTTAGTAAAATCATCGACATTGTGAACTAAAATTATTTTGACTCCGAGCAAACTCCGCAATTAGAGCAAACCCCGCGTCGCTTATTTGTCTGTTTTTTTCGCTTTTGGAAAAAAAATATTCGCATTTTTAATTTATTATTATTATACTGGGTGAAAGAAAATTGTCTATGATCTTTAATTTTTTCTACATTTCTGTGTAGGCAGTGTGGGTCATGTGCGTACAACCCTACAAGCCCGCAAATGTTTCAGAAAATGATCACGTGATATAAAAACAAAATACTTATGAATTCCAGACGGAAAGATGTACTTCAGAACAATACCATTGATAATTTTTTTAGAAATGTATAGTTTCACCGTCTGAGAGTGGTGAAATATGAAATTCGTAATAAGTTGGCTATTTTGTAGAATAGTCCAGATTATGCCTCTTTTCCTATTATCTCTCCCCTCTTCCCTAATTATCTTTAGATCGTCATTTACAAAAAGATGAACGACAAAGGTAAAAAATCCTGTGTTTCAAAAGAGAATAACGTTAAAGAAGATGGTTGTGATTGGCTAGAAGATGGCAACGAAAGATACGACAATGCATTAGAAAATGAAAGTATGGAAGATGGTGGAAATACTCAACCAATTCTAAATTTACCCATTCAAGAAACTCTTGCTGAAGAATTTTGGTTTGACCTGCTAGACTTTACAAGAGAAGATAGATGTGCGATGGAAATGCTGAACGAAGATTTGGTTTTGAATGTACCATCAACGTTAGAAAAAGTTTAAAGATTCGTCAACTTCAACGTAAAGTGATTTATACCGAGAGAAATAAATCATGTACATTTTACATTATAAATAGTTTTGTGTAAAACGCAAGAACTCAAGAAAATATTTTGTTTTTACCATTCAATAATCAATGGAAGAAAGGCATACTGTAATCTTATGTACTAATGAACAATTTAAAATAATTTTTGTACGTTTTTCTAAATCTCTTTCTTAATAATATTTATTTTTATTAATGTAATTATTAATCTTTATTGAATGGTAATTTTTTAGTGCTGTCATTTCATGCGTTATAATGTATAAACCACTGATATAAACTCATGCATTCCTACATAATTGTTTCCATAGAAATTATTTATGATGCTAGTTTGCGTCGTGAGACATTGTCTTCACGATGAAATGGAAATTATTTATGATGCTAGTTTGCGTCGTGAGACATTGTCTTCACGATGAAATGACTGAGTGAAATTTTTTAATTTTAGCAAACCATCCTCACCATCAATTATGTATTTTTCTGTTGCCAATTTTATAAGTCCTTTAGTATTTACTGCCAGTTGTAGATTCGATAAAAAACAAAATATTTTGAAATACTGTTTGTAAGGGCTCTTATAGTGATTTCTATTTTATTTTTTCCTTTCACAAGTTTCCAATTATTGTGACGACGACAAATAGCTTTTGTTTTGTGAATTAGTTTAGCCTTCTCTCCATTTATTTCAAATGAAAGCGTTTAAAAGGGATTTCCCCTTGGCTGTTAAAATCTGGAAAGAAAAACACGTGACCTAAGCCTCTAATATGTATTGAATATTTATATATAGTCAATGGCGCGGTAAATTTATAGTCTTTGTTATTGTGAATTGTAAAGTTGAGATTCAGTGTTTATTTGTTGCTTTTGAATTGTAATCAGAGGTTCAAAATTTCGACAATTACTTCAAGAAAGCGTTGCTACAATGGATTAAAACATGCAAAACAACATATGATATTATTTTTCATTTTATTCGGCGTACTTTGTGGATTTTTACTCGGTTCTTTATTACATGGCAATGTTCAGTCGTCCATAGATCCAACACCGAAGGAATATGCAATGTACGTGTCGTTTCTTGGTGAGATTTGGGTGAGAGCATTAAGACTTTTGGTTCTTCCTTTGATTGTATCCAGCTTGCTTTTGGCAGTCGCTGAATTGGAGTCAAAACAGAGCGGAAAATTGGGAAGGAGAACATTGCTGTATTGTCTTATGACTACAATGTTTGGGGAGTAATTTGTTTATTTGCATTTAACCTGGAAATGTTAACGTGAAAGAACTAGAACCAAACGAAGAAAAAGTTGAACCAATACATTCTGTGCTTGATCTTACTAGGTTTGTGCAAAATATTCATAAATTTACTGAGTTTGCGCCTTGCTTTTGCGTTCACTGCAAAAATTTTCTTATACGTATAACTTTTATTTCTATTATTTAACGACAATGCTTTTTACTTTTTCAATATGAACATAATAGCCCAACATAAGACATTTAAAAAAGCCATCGCAATAATAAAATAAAGAAAGACAAAAGGTTTTTTTAATAATTACGTTTCTTCTTTAATTTAAGACATCTTCATATTATTTGAGATAAATTATATACATGAGGTTTTAAATACAAGCATATATTACAGGGTGTTAAATTACAAGTGAGGGGAGTAGGAAGTTTAGATGAAGGAATGAAATGAGAAGGGCGGTACATTAAAGAAGGTGAAGGGGGATTGAGTTGCCTTGGGTGTTAAGAGAGGGTTTAAATTTGGATATAAGAAGGCTTTCATGAATCATAAGTTCATAATTGTCTGCTTTTTACTTTACTAAAGGAAACCTTTTTTATTAGAACGTAAATGCTTCTTTCGCAAAACTGTGCAAATGTGGAGATTTCCAAGTGCGTAGATAACCCATTCACCTTCACTATTGTGAAAGAATAATAAATACATTTACGATATTAGTTGTAAATACATTTTATTATGACATATGAACCATACTAAAGAGAGCAAAGGTAATGCTACAAGATCAAAATAAGAACATTTAGATTTTAAATGGATAAGTTAATATGAAACACAGCCTTTACAACAATCACCTTGAAATATAAAAATTACAATAAACCTTCCACACTCTACTCATCACACACTCAATTTCACATCTCTTTGAGACAGTGAGTGGAAGGTTTATTGAAATTTTTGAATTTCAATGTCAAAAAGATCTTTACTCCTTTTGAATTTTAAAACTCATTTAATTTATGACAAAAGTTTGCTGAGATTTTGTTTACAATTGTAACATGTGACAGCCAGGGTTATGTGTTTATTAACATAATTATCAGTCAGCCAAGCTTTTTTGAAACCATTATGAATCAACATTAACATCATCTGACGTCGTACATGAACTATTCTTAACCAATAGAGCTATACCTCATATTCATAATGTCATTTTAACTTTTAAATATGTTTATGTCAAGATTTCAATTGTAGAATGATTATTATATATACTACTGAACATTGTGTACAACAAGACAACTGTCAATAAATGAGTTGTCAAGGAAAACGAACCTTAAGAACCAAGAATAGCACGAAGCTTTGATTTACACCACTGTATATGACAGATCATTCTCATTGAAATGCATCAAATTGCAATATTGCTACATAAACACAAAGAGGATGGACATTTTGGTGTTCACGAAAACAAAATTTAATTATTTATAGATGTTCCAAATGTGCACATCAATGTAATTATATCTTACAATACCTGCACCAGGCCTAAATACCATACAATAATAAATAATCTTTTGAAAATTTCACAGTTTGATTGTAAACTGTTTTCTTCTTTAAGATAAATCCCATTTCACCACCAACCTATGTTGTCATGACAACAACAGTGAATCGAGAAGAAGGTTTGAAAGCTTTGGAAACATCTATCAAAGCCATTGAAGAAGTCATTATGAACAAGACAGGAACATTTGTTTTACAACAAGCTGTAAGTGTTTGGTTTATATTTATATAAAAAATAAATTGTATCACTAAAATGACATCCCCCTGGTGACTCTACTATCCTCATATCATCCTGTTACCACTTCCCTAAGTACCATACTGTATTAAAAATGGGACATTATCAAAGTTCATGTATGATGTCATCATCATCACCTTCCCTGTCCTTTAAAACCAAAAATATAATGACCCTGTTAACATTGACAATATTTATCAGTGAGAATTGAAACAAGAAAATGACATGAAGTAATGAGTGTAAAAATTCAAAAGCCAAATGAAGTTAAAAAATTTTGTATTGATAATTTCGTAGAAGCACTATTGCTAATGCGCATTTAATATACAAGATGAGTTTTTTAAAATAGACATGTTTCAACATCTCATGATGCCATCTTCAGTATGAGTGAAAAAATAAGTGTTACAGGGTTTAGATAAAAGTAACATGATACATAAATTACAACAATAATAAGGAAATAAGATAAATTAATGGGGAGCTTCCAAGCGTATTATAAACTAAATATTGTATTGAATTTAAAAACTTGAACATTGAGGTCAGGGTTAGTTTTGTTAATGTGCAGTGCTTCTTTGATTTTAAGGGAGAATGAGGTGTCAGCAGTGTCGATGATTTTGAAGCAAGAGGGTGAATAGTTGGTTTTACATGAGTGAGATTTAAGAAGGTGTCGGTAGATATGAGAGTTTTTGTCTGTTGTGGTATGTTCCCTGATTCTGGTGGATAAATGGCGCAATGTTTCGCCAATGTATCGGGAATTACATCCCGCGCAATTGAATTCATACACAACCATAGATTTAATTGAATCAGGGATTGGGTCTTTGAATGAGAAAAGGTTTTTGATTTTGAATGATGTGAAAATTAGTCGAATGTCAATATCTGTACAGAAGCGTTTCATAATGTTTGTAAGTCTGCGTTGTGTGTGTCGTGAGTAATGTCCGATGTATAGTAGTTTAAAGTATAGAGTTGTTATTTTGGAATTTTCATTTGTGTTGGTCGTGATCGTCGTGTCAGGAGTTTCGGTGTCTAGGTTGAGGTTGTTGCTTTGTTTGTTGTCGAGATATCGTTTTGCGGTTCTGTCAATAAAGTGTAGTGGGAAAGAGTTTCGTAAAAGAGTGGATGTGATGTTTTTTATGTCTCGTTAAAAGCCATTGTTTGTATTGTTAAGTTTGTATGCTCTGTCGATTAGTGTGCGATAAATTGGCACATTACAAGTCGATTGTTGATTCAAACCTTCACTTTACCCACAGATTTTTAACCTTGATCATTACTGACTAAGAGCTTAGCAATCTACTTTTGTGTTTATTTTGTCAGTTCTTCTCATTATGTCAGATACATGCCAATCAAGGTTATGGGTTGAAATGTATTTGTAAATCCTATTGCCATGCCTTTGCATTCATGCAAGAAATTTGTTGATTTTAAATGAAAAATTTAAGCTATAAATTTCTATCATTGATTATCATTTTTATCTGTTCAACCAAAGGTTGTCACAGATATGGATGAAGCAGACTTTGCAAAGGAACTGGAAAAACTTGAACTTCAAAATGCAGAAGTTGATGGTGATGATGATAATCCTGATGATGAAGAAGAACAAGATGAAGCATAAATGATTGTGGTTTGTTTTAAAACTTGCTGTGTTTTATTTTTATCATACACTACCTGCAGTTGTCTTGAACAACAATTAGTTTAACTTCAAACTCCATTCAAACCCTATACATTACAAACATCAATTATTTTCTATAGACGATCCGAAATAGATATTTCATTGTCAATGTTTTGCAAGGCAGTTTTTGAAGGTCCCCTGTTCGGGTTAAACTGCCGCTCTGAGGTTGTAGTTTGTGTTGAATAGGACATTCGTCATCGTGAAACTATTGTAAATGCCAAGTCGTTGAAATGAAAGCATATTTAGAAAGGAGATCGTTAAATTAAATATTGCTAACAATTTCCTACGGCGAAAAGTTTCCTTGAACTTTTTAATCATAATTGATCGAAGATTCAGAATATCTTATCAAAATTGGTTATGAATTATGACTGTCGATGCTATAGTTTGTCTGTCGCTTTCCATTATCTGAGCCTGAGTTTAAATTTCATGTTAACTTAATCTCGACGTTCACCTTTGACGTTTATCAGAACTTATACAATCAATGAAGTTTGTTGTAAAATTCTTATACTTCTTTCTAACTTTATATATCATCAAATGAAATCGAGAATGTTTGAAATTTCAAACGCGGAAGTGTATCATGAGGTTCAATGTATTAAAAAGTACAAAATCTCACAAAACGACAAAAACTTTATGATTATGTCAACATTACGAATGGAGAAAACAATAACATAAAGGAAAATATGGCTAGTTTTATAAAACAGTGACGTATCGTATCGTATCGCCTATGTATTTCATTTCGTACATTTAAGTATGATGTCATCATTCGTTCGACCCCTTGTTTGGATTTTCATTGGTTTGTTAATTCCTCGAGATTTTGATTGGTTGGGGGAAACTTTTGTACTTCCGGCGAAAAGCGACACACGTGAACGACATGAACGTGAACTTGAACGACATTGTCTCAGATCTATTTCAATTTTCAAAGCGTGCAAACGAGACTTTCAACTTGATTTGTACATTTTTACCTTCGTGGCTATCTTGTCTTCAGTAAAAAAGGTTGGTGTAAGAGTTACAATTTACATTCACTAATTTCAGTGTCGTTTATAGCTTTCATGTTTTGCTCCACCATCGTTAAATCATCTCACTAATAATTTAAGTTTATTATTATTATACATGGTGTAGCTTACAGAATGTTTGAAATTTCTTGTTTATTTGCCATTGAGCTAAAGTTGGGTTATAATTTCAGGATAAATTTACAATGCTCAAAGAAACGTTGGCAATCATCATTACAAACATCAATTATTTTCTATTGACGATCCGTGTGGTGCAGTGCGGTGTTTGATATTAAATGAAGATATGATCTTCCCACTTTGCTGGACAATGAAAGGAATGTCATATAAAAGAATTCTTTCATATGACATGAAAGGAATGTCATGGTTCATGAGACAATTGCTAAATTGGCCAGCAAAGTGCGAAGATCATATCTTCATTTCACTTTTGGTTCTACAACAGAATACTGGCATATACAAGTTTATCTGAAGGGCTTTTTATTTAATGAATTCTAGAACGTCGTGTATTTCGGTGACGTCGACATAAAAACTTGTGTTTTGTTACTGTTGGCGAAAAAAACGGAATGGTCGGAATGAGGAAGTTGTAAATTTTATTTTAGTGTGTTTCATTCAGCCTTCCGACGCGCGACTAAAGCGATTGCCTAGTGTGTTTCAGCCTTAACTGTTCAATCACGTTAGTTTGATTTCGATTTAAGTAAATAAAATAATAATGAACAAAAATTCAATTACATAAACTTTTCAGAATCATTCAACTTTTTAAATTTTCAAACATCGAATTTTTCATGCGCAATTTTTTGCATCTTGGATCAGGGGCTTCCCCTATATTTACAACTATATGAATATTTCCATAATTTCGTAATGGCACGATTGAAATGATGCATTTAACGTAAACGACAACTTTTTTTAAATTTTTTATTGCAGATATTTTCGGCAAACTTATGCCATCTTCAGTGCGGTGTAATGAAAAATCTGACAAGTTTGAAATTGTGAATGCATTGCTAGAAACACATTTATAGAAATAAATTTAAAGTAAGATAAATCCAAATACATTCGAGTGATTCGACACAAAGGTTAGCGAATGTTGGAAAAATTGGCGACTTTCGTCGTCATAGATTGATGTACACCAGTAGATAAGGTGCAGCTTTGTCACACTTTTGTCACAGAGCTCTTACCCGTGCCAGTTAGTTTCCAGTCCCTGAAGTTGATCGGTGCGCGCGCATGTAAACCGCACCGTTAATAAACAAGGCATGGCCACAGAATATATACATTCTGTGGCATGGCATTGGATGGCGTGAAAATCGGAAATACGACAAAGCTGGAAGTTGCATGCTATTGACAAAGTAACATTAGATCCGTTTCCCTATCACAATCGAAGGTAAAAACGGTAGAAAACGAGGTAATTGCATTTTATAGCTTATACTTTATCGAAAGGTTTACATTTTATCTCTTGAAACAAATGGAATTGAATGTAGACATTGATGAGGCATTAAGAATGAACAAATTGCCTTTGGAGTCAGAAAAGATTAAAAAACTTTACGTCAAAGTTTGTTAGAAAATAAACTTTTAGACTGCTATGCTGAAGAAATTGTTGCAATGATAAACGCTGAAGTAAATAAGAACTGCAATGGATGCATGATTGATCACCACTCTCAACGCGAGCATGACTGTCTCATGATGGAGCATGACGAGCGTATGTTGTTGCATTTTGATGATGCCTTGAAAAATGTGTCCGAAGAGATTGTGATCAAAGATTTTATGAAAAGCATTGAAGATGTCAAGCCACCCGTTAATGGACTTGAGATACTAAAATACACTTGTAACGATTGGCGTAAAATATTTGTTTCGGATAAAAAGAACAAACTTGAAACACGAGTCGTTAAGCTTTTGTAAATATATATTTTTATTTATTCCCGTTCGATTCGTAAGGTCAAACCATTACACATTGTTCTGAAAGAAATCTAAGAAAAACGTATGAATTTACTGCTTACATGTTAGCACTTCTGTATACATATACGTAAGCGATGTAATATTACATAGAAAAAAACATTTTACGACAACTACAAACGAATTAAAACTTACTCGATAAGGTCTTTTATGAGACGATACATGCCAACACGAGGGTTTTACAAGATAATCATCACAGTTATCACATTTTTCTAAAAAATAAAATCGACGCCTCTGTTAAAGTTAATACAAACACCCTAAGGAACAGAAAAAAGACAAACGGTACTTACTGAAGGTATACAACGACGCTTATGGCGAGGCCATCCTTCTTCGATTGCATGTTTGGATATTGCATCTCCACAAAGGCTCTCTGTTTCGTAAGTGGTTGAGATACACTACACATGCCCTTGAGATGTGACCTTCGTTGCCATCTCGCAAATGTAAATTATAAATTACCATTGAATAGTATGATCTTGAATAATGTGGCTTTATCAGCTTTATCACTTTTATCAGTTGATTGCACTAACTTCTTCGTTTAAATTCTCCTAATACAATCTCTAGCAACCAGTAAAACAAACGCATACTAAAATAAAATAATGTTTGTAAATCTAAGAAGGACAGAATTAAAAGCTAGGATACTGCACAGATCTTACCCACGCCACATTATTCAAGATCATCTGGTCTTTTCTGCAATTGGCATTCGACTGGATGAACGTGATTGGTTACGTGAATAGTTTTGCTGAGTCTCTGAGTTTCTGCAAGGCGGTGATGTATATAAGGACGTCCTTTGGATTACACCAAAGTCAGTGGTAGCTGGCTTGTGACGGAGCACCTCCTCATCGAAAGCAACATTTGTTGGTAAAGTTTGCGAGTCACATTAGCATATGTAAAATAAAGATATGAACAAAAACGATAAAAATTCCAATTTTGAATCAAATGAGGATGAAGGCTCTGATCTCCACAAAGGCTCTCTGTTTCGTAAGTGGTTGAGATACACTACACATGCCCTTGAGATGTGACCTTCGTTGCCATCTCGCAAATGTAAATTATAACATACCATTGAATAGTATGATCTTGAATAATGTGGCTTTATCAGCTTTATCACTTTTATCAGTTGATTGCACTAACTTCTTCGTTTAAATTCGCCGTCTGGCTTACAGCTCACGCAATTAACCATTCAGCTACCCGCCCCACGGGTGGAGGTTGATGATGATGATAATGGAGCATGAGCAACATGACGAAAACAATTCCCGCGAAGAGAACGTTCTGCAGGAGATTCTTGTAGACGATCAAGTAGGGATGGAATCAGATGTTGACAGTTATGCTGAACTTTTTAATATCTTGCTTGAGTTTTTATATTTGGACTTTAGTGTTGAAATATATGATTTAAATCTACCATTAATTCCTGATGAACTGTAAGTTTGACTGTATATGTAGAAATATTTTATTTGTAGAAATGTAGAAATGTAGAAATGCACAAACTATGGAGTTAAAATTTGTTAAAATAACTATTTAGATAGAATGTACTCTATTACGTCTGTAAAACGTATAAACTTGTGTAGGTGCTAATTTTAATAAAGAATCTTTTTCACTATTTGCCAAAAACTTACATTCGCGAGATGACGACAATTCCCGAACGTGATCTCACGTGATCTAGAGTTAAGCTTATCATTGGCTGAAATTGAAGTGCATTTTTCATTTTATTCGGCGTACTTTCTGGATTTTTAGTTCGTGCGTTATTGCATGGCAATGTTCAGTCGTCCATAGATCCAACACTTAAGGAATATGTAATGTACGTGTCGTTGCCTGGTGAGATTTGGGTGAGAGCATTAAGACTTTTTGTTCTTCCTTTGATTGTATCCAGCCTGCTTTTGGCAGTCGCTGAATTGGAGTCATAACAGAGCGGAAATTTGGGAAGAAAAACATTGCTGTATTGTCTTATGACTACAATGTTTGGGGAGTAATTTGTTTATTTGCATTTAACCTGGAAATGTTAACGTGAAAGAACAAGAACCAAACGAAGAAAAAGTTGAACCAATACATTCTGTGCTTGATCTTACAAGGTTGGTGCTTTTGACTTTATTGATAAATTTACTGAGTTTGCGCCCTGCTTTTGCTTTTACTGCGAAAATTTTCTTATACGTATAACTTTTATTTCTATTAATAAAGGACACATGCCAGTTTGAAGACACCTTTATTTTATTGTAATGTCTATAGCGTGAAAGTAAGACGTACCAAGTTTCAAAGTCGTCCGCAAAATATTTCAAAAGATATTTAGGGTTATAATCGGTAAAAACACGATATTCGATGACCATTGCTAAAACGCCGTGAGATTGTTTAAGTCTGGGAACTGTGAAAGAGTGACGTATTAGTTGACATAAACAAGCATCGTTCTTGTATCGTTCTACGACTGGCATGCAGTGCTTGCACGGCTTTCGGTAGTTTGCTATTACTGTTTTTTATTTATCAAAAATTAATGGATTCTTCTGAAGGAGAAGCCGATTATGATATTGTCATCAATAACAATGAGCTACAACCTTACATGTTTGAGCCTTTGGCCAACGCGCAAGGTGGTCATTACTATTCTCCGTCATCGGAAAGCGAAGATAAATACATTCACAGAATTGGAAATGTTGAATCGTTAGTTGCATTTTATTGATGCTTCATTGTTTTTCCCAAAGTAAAAACAATGTTTTTATCTTTTAGGTGCGAGTGTGGCTTTTGTGTGGTCATGAAAGTTTATACCTCTACTTATCATATTTGGCACTTTTGTTTGAGTGGTTCTTGACCTTACGTGTTTTTGCGGACGGATTGTTATGGCTGCTTGGCATTTCACATTTCGCTTCTAAGGTACGTTAAGGAATTTTCTATGAGTTAAAATAACAAAGAAAAGATCAAACGACATTAGTCTGAATTAGTTACCACTGTATATGTTTGTGTTTCGCTGTCTACATATATTTTGACATCTTTATCTTAGACAAACTTCCTTTGAGGTAAAACGCACAAACATTTCGAGATGATGTCGACACATCGTGGTCGTCGCCTACAAGAAAGTCGTCATGTTCTGCAAGAACGTCGTCAATAATCTAAAATTATAAAATTGTCCACAATTTGGTAATGCTATATAGCTTAGTTTTTTATAAATGTAAACAAATATTGCTAACTATAACTATAATAATCACCTCTTGCCTTCGTCTCTTCTCAAATGCAGTTCTAACATTTGTTGGCTGCTTCCTTTTAGATGCTACACTTGTGGGTTCCACAGAGTATTCAAAAATCGTGGGTACAGCATCCTTCTTAAGGCGAAGCCGTCCTGCTGTCCATCCTACTGATTGCATCGCTTCAAAATTTTGCACGAAGCACGAACTCTCGAAATGTTGTGAGCACAGTTTTGAGCTCTTTGTTGGCTTCAAATTTTTGCGTCGGATTTTTTCCATCCAAATATCTCGCATGCTACGGTGGCTCACAAGGGCCACCACACAAAATAAAAATATTAATACACACACAAAATAAAAATACACACACAAAATAAAAATACACACACAAAATACATTATACACACACAAAATAAAAATACACACGCAAAATACATTATACACACACAAAATAAAAATACACACACAAAATACATTATACACACACAAAATAAAAATACACACACAAAATAAAAATACACACACAAAATATGATTGCGGGCGCTTGCAGGGTCGGCTTACTCGGAATTGCTCGTAATTGATCGTTTTTGTTTTCAAAGTTCTAATGGTTCCAACTTCCAGAGTACATAATAAAATTCATTGATTTCACTGTGATCAATTATTTCAAAGTTGCTTACGATATTGCTCCCCGTATTCTGGTTAAAATTAAGGTTAATGTGTTGTCCTAGTTGCGGCAACAATCCGGCTCAGTCTCGGAATCAAACACGTACTGTGATGATTGTTTATCAGAGCAAAACATTACACGCTTGATAACAGGTTATTTCAATCGTGGTTATCCGTATGGGGCAATCGTCAGACTTTTGCAAACCTCCGGTATTCTGATGTCTATACGGACGTTGAAGCGCCGCATCAGATCTTTGGGCTTAAGACGAAAAGGACAAGTCTGGACGACTGTCTGGCTATCGAAGTATTTGGCATGCATTAAGACTTCGTCATAGTATAAATGTGAGTCGTCGCGTAGTAGCCAGAATTATGAAGGAAATCGACCCAGATGGCGTGGAAACAAGAAAGGCCAGACGATTACATCGTAGAGTATATAAAAGCCTAGGAGCAAACGCTTGCTGGCACCTCGACGGTAAGATTACATTAAGGTAGTTTCTATGAACCTAGAAGTAACAAATACCCCCGACAAGAACTTGCAGTTATGCATTGGAGGGATTATCTGCAAGATTGCGAAGGTAATGTAAGGTAGTTCATTGACTATATTTCTAGTTTACAGTATTTACATAATCCTGTAGTACTAAGATGTTAAGTTAGAACTTGTAAGTATGCATTATTATTTCTGCAGTTGAAAAATCGAAGAAATTAAACACTGCTAGTTGCTACATCAACAAGTATATTGCTCTCTGTTTAGCTGGACGATGTGGTGCTACTTTGGGAGATGTACTAATCTTTGCAACAGGAAGTGATGACATCCCACTTCTTGGCTTTACACCAATGCCTTCACTATGCTTTTGGGAAGATGTTCGTCCAAGATCAAACATGTGTGATACCACACTTTATCTCCCTCTATTCCCTGGTTCAAAGGATGAAGTGCAATATGATAGTTTTAAAGAAAAAATGGATGATGGAATTTTAAATTCACCTTTTGGGATTCCATAAAGTTTTAGCAGTTTTTTATAACAAGTACATATTCAATTAGTTCAAAGTTCTTATAACGTGTTTATAACACCAAATTTTAAGTTTAGTGGCGGAATGCTACGTTTTAGCATAATGGTATTCAACAATTTACAACAAATCATGTTTCATAATATAGTTTTATTTGCTTTGCAATTGGTTGCAAAAGCCTTTTTGCAACAGTATATTTCTATTTCATCTTTGCGACATGGGTATCATTATGCCAAATACATCTTACATGGTAACTTTTCATGTTTGTAGATGTAGATTGTCCAGGTTAGTAGAGTCCTGAGAAGGACTATTGTTGTTGATGTTGACTGACGTTTCGATTTGACTCTGAAGATGCCTATTGCTAAGGTTGTTGAAATGTCAGTCAACATCAACAATAACAGTCCTTCTCAGGACTCTACTAACCTGGACGATCTATATCTACAAACATGTAACGATACTCCTGGGTTCAAACCATTTACTTTATTTAACTTTTATTATGTGGTGTGATAATCTATATAATTAACACTAACTTCATTGTGGTACATTAATTAAATGTTGAAAAATTTCGAATCCTTCATTTATGTCTGCAGGATATGCCAAATTTTTGTTTTCCAAGACATAATCAAAATATTCTTTGTAAATGTCCTCACAAATGCATGGGTCAATTCTCTCTTCCATTTCACTCAGCTTATCAGCAGAAATATCTATTAGGCAGTTTTCACCCCCATAGTATTCTGGCAGAAAGAACAAAATGTCTGGAACTCCTGATACGGTTTCATGTTGCGACCTACAAATGTAGTGGCTATTCCAGTGATCTTTTACTTTTGTTAAATCTTTTTGCAATAACATGTTAAAACAAAACCACAGTGCCTCCATGTGGTAGGTATTACCCAACTCTAACAAACCTTTTTGTGCCATATCTTGGAAAAAGTCAATCCACCAGCCTGATCTAGTTCGTCTCATGAAAGACCACCATGCTTCAATTCTTTGATTTGAAAGAGAGGATCCATAAACATGAGCTTTTCCCCTGCCCATTCATCATCTCCAGCAGTTCTCAGGTAGCATTGCATTGCAGACAATAAAACATTTTCTATCCCACAATGTGCAGCCTCCAAACTCCTTAACAGCATTAAGAAATATTTCTGCAATTACATTTGGATTTTTGTTTGATCTGACAACCTCAAGCCACAGAATTCTTCTGCTGTAACCACAAACAGCACCATGTACTGCAAACCCATATGGTTTGAGTTTGTCATATCCTTAAAAAGAGAAGAGTTTGTTAGACATTTGCACTCAATAATGTGCTACAAAAAAGCTAGGTTTGGGTAACTGTTCCCCATTATCTATAAGTTTCAATAAAAATTCATAGAAACTGTACATTAATGTAATCTTACCGTCGAGGTGCCAGCAAGCGTTTGCTCCTAGGCTTTTATATACTCTACGATGTAATCGTCTGGCCTTTCTTGTTTCCACGCCATCTGGGTCGATTTCCTTCATAATTCTGGCTACTACGTGACGACTCACATTTATACCATGACGAAGTCTTAATGCATGCCAAATACTTCGATAGCCAGACAGTCGTCCAGACTTGTCCTTTTCGTCTTAAGCCCAAAGATCTGAAGCGGCGCTTCAACGTCCGTATAGACATCAGAATACCGGAGGTTTGCAAAAGTCTGACGATTGCCCCATACGGATAACCACGATTGAAATAACCTGTTATCAAGCGTGTAATGTTTTGCTCTGATAAACAATCATCACACTACGTGTTTGATTCCGAGCCTGAGCCGGAATTGTTGCCGCAACTAGGACAACACATTAACCTTAATTTTAACCAGAATACGGGGAGCAATATCGTAAGCAACTTTGAAATAATTGATCACAGTGAAATCAATGAATTTTATTATGTACTCTGGAAGTTGGAACCATTAGAACTTTGAAAACAAAAACGATCAATTACGAGCAATTCCGAGTAAGCCGACACTGCAAGCGCCCGCAATCATATTTTGTGTGTGTATTTTTATTTTGTGTGTGTATTTTTATTTTGTGTGTGTATTTTTATTTTGTGTGTGTATTTTTATTTTGTGTGTGTATTTTTATTTTGTGTGTGTATAATGTATTTTGCGTGTGTATTTTTATTTTATGTGTGTATAATGTATTTTGTGTGAGTATTTTTATTTTGTGTGTGTATTAATATTTTTATTTTGTGTGGTGGCCCTTGTGAGCCACCGTATGCGCATGCGCTTGTTTTCGGGAAACGAAAAAAAGAAATCTTTTGCTACGTTTGATGGTTCTTAGAAGAACCGTTTTTACAATTAAATGCGGCACAATAAACCATATTTTCAATGCTAAATTGTCGTGTTGTTAATGCAGGCAAGGAAGTTGCCAATATATTTTGAACGAAGCGCGTAATTGACCGCGTTTAGCTAATGTCAACTAATAAGTCACAACGACCTTTTTCCAATCGGTAGCCGTCGTTAGCTCGTCGGGCATTTTCAATACGTTATTAGTAAAGCATCAACTTTAAACCTCCATATCTTCTAAAAAATTTATCCTTTGAGTCTCAAACTTTGGTGAACTATTAGTTGGAGCTATACCTTTATGTAAAGTACAAAAATAACAATCCGAATTTTATGTTGCATGTGTCCTTTAAGAAAGGTAGGAAATTGATAAACCGCGTCAAGGCGTCAGAAAAGCCAAAACTAGCTTGTACTACGCAATGGAAATCCCGCAATTTTTTACAAATTCACTAAGTTTAATAATAATAAATCAAAACTTACATCAAAGAATTCTTTCATATGAAAGAAATGTCGTATGAAGGAATTCTTTCATATGACATGAAAGGAATGTTTGCTCTGTCTGACTGGGTAACTATTATTAGAAGTCCTTCACTTGAGTCTATTGGACATATTTGAAAGGAATGTCATATGAAAGAATTCTTTCATGTGACATTCCTTTCACGAATTCTTTGATATGACACTTCTTTCACGAGAAAACGTGAGCCCAACAAAATTGAATTCTTTCATATGACATTCCTTTCACGAGAAAACATCAGCCCAACAAAATTGACCTGCTCTCCACTGTGTGACTTTAAAGCTCAGTTGGTCAGAGCACTGCACCGGCACCGCAGAATTCATGGGTTCGAATCCCGTTGAGTCACCTGAATTTCTCAGGGTCATAAGACAATTGCTTAAATTGTCCAGCAAAGTGCAAAGATCATATCTTAATTTCACTTTTGGTTCTACAACAGAATACTGGCATAGACAAGTTTATCTGAAGGGTCTTTTATTTAATGATTTCTAGAACGTCGTGTATTTCGGTGACGTCGACATAAAAAGTTGTGTCTTGTTACTGTTGGCGAAAAAAACGGAATCGTCGGAATGAGGAAGTTGTAAATTTTATTATAGAGTGTTTCATTCAGCCTTCAGACACGCGACTAAAGCGATTGCCTAGTGTGTTTCAGCCTTAACTGTTCAATCACGTTAGTTTGATTTCGATTTAAGTAAATAAAATAATGAACAAAAATTAAATTACATAAACTGTTTTCAGAATCATTCAACTTTTTAAATTTTCAAACATCAAATTTTTCATGCGCAATTTTTTGCATCATGATCAGGGGCTTCCCCTATATTTACAACTATATGAATATTTCCATAATTTTGCAATGGCACGATTGAAATGAATAAAGTAAAGTTATTTGAAATGTTGAATTTATCATAGGATGCATGATACGTGTTAATTAGTAAAAGGAAAAGGTTTGATAAAATATTAGTGATATTTACACGGCAAATATCATAAGTGTGATGGAGACAAAGTTGAATATTACACTCAATTTTCTCTAAAACTCAAAGAAGCCTTAGACACACGCAAACAAAAACCAGATCTTAACAAACAAATTCCACATTTTAACATAATTTTCTAATTTCCCTAATTTCGTAATGGCACGATTGAAATGATGCATTTAACATAAACGACAAGTTTTTTAAAGTTTTTTATTGCAGACATGTTTCGGCAAACTTATGCCATCTTCAGTGCGGTATAACGAAAAATCTGACAAGTTTGAAATTGTGAATGCATTGATAGAAACACATTTATAGAAATAAATTTAAAGTAAGATAAATCCAAATACATTCGAGTGATTCGACACAAAGGTTAGCGAATGTTGGAAGAATTGTCGACTTTTGTCCTCATAGATTGATGTACACCTAAATATTGCCAAGTTCACAAACCATTTACTGGTTAAAATAAATGGTTTGAACCCGGGAGTATCGTTACATGTTTGTAGATGTAGATCGTCCAGGTTGGTATAGTCCTGAGAAGGACTGTTTTTGTTGTACACGCACATCACACATCACTACTAAAAATGTTTCGCTTTCCCAATTTTGGCATTTTGCCATTTCCGGCTTTCTGGTCTTTTCTGCAATTGGCATTCGACTGGATGAACGTGATTGGCCACGTGAACAGTTTTGCTGAGTCTCTGAGTTTCTGCAAGGCAGTGATGTATAAGGACGACCTTTGGATTACACCAAAGTAAGTGGTAGCTGGCTTGTGACGGAGCACCTCCTCATCGAAAGCAACATTTGTTGGTAAAGTTTGCGAGTCACATTAGCATATGTAAAATAAAGATATGAACAAAAACGATAAAAATTCCAATTTTGAATCAAATGAGGATGAGAATAGAAATGAAGACGAACATCACGAAGGACTAGAAAATGAGCAACATGACGAAAACAATTCCCACGAAGAAAACGTTCTGCAGGAGAATCTTGTAGAAGATCAAGTAGGGATGGAATCAAACGTTGACAGTTATGCTGAACTTTTTAATATCTTAATTGAGGTTTTATATTTGGACTTTAGTGTTGAAATATATGATTTAAATCTACCATCAATTCCTGATGAACTGTAAGTGTGACTGTATGTGTAGAAATATCTTATTTGTAGAAATGTAGAAATGTAGAAATGTAGAAATGCACAAATTATGGAGTTAAAATTTGTTAAAATAACTATTTAGATAGAATGGACTCTATTACTAATAGCTAATCTTTATTGAGGATGCAGACATCACTAAAAAGTGGTTTAGAGAGGGGTCCTCTAAAAAGGAATTAAATATAATATAACTACTTAAAAAGAAAAAGAAAAAGAATACAAATCGAAAAATATGAAGATAAAAATACATCATATTAAAATTAACATGCTAAAAATGAAACTAATTAAAATAGTGCTATTTTGATACCACGCTTAAATTGGCTTAAGTTGGGCACATCATTACGTCTGTAAAATGTAAAGATTTGTCTATGTGCTAATTTTAATAAAGAATCTTTTTCACCATTTGCCAATAACTTACATTCGCGAAATAACGACAATTCCCCAACTTGATCTCACGTGATCTAGAGTTAAGCTTATCATTGGCTGAAATTGAAATGCATTTTTCATTTTATTCGGCGTACTTTCTGGATTTTTACTTCGTGCTTTATTCAATGGATTTGTTCAGTCGTCCATAGATTTAACACCTAAGGAATATGCAATGTATGTGCCGTTTCCTGGTGAGATTTGGGTAAGAGCATTAAGACTTTTTGTTCTTCCTTTGATTGTATCCAGCCGGCTTGGAGTCGCTGGTCGCTGAATTGGAGTCAAAATAGAGCCGAAAATTGGGAAGAAGAACATTGCTGTATTGTCTTATGACTACAATGTTGGCTGCCATTTTGGGGAGTAATTTGTTTATTTGCATTTAACCTGGAAATGTTAACGTGAAAGAACCAGAACCGAACGAAGAAAAAGTTGAACCAATACCTTCTGTGCTTTGATCTTACAAGGTTTGTGCAAAATATTCATAAATTTACTAAATTTGCACCCTGCTTCTGCTTTTACTGCGAAAATTTTCTTATACGTATAACTTTTATTTCTATTATTTAACGACAATGCTTTTTACTTTTTCAATATGAGCATAATAACCCAACATAAGACATTTAAAAAAGCCATCGCAATAATAAAATAAAAAAAGACAAAAGGTTTTTTAATAATTACGTTTTGTCTTTAACTTAAGACATCTTCAGATTATTTGAGATGAATTATATACATGAGG